AGAGAAGACACGATTATTCGAGCCTTGCACCTCGTTTTTTGTAACTATTGACAACAGGCAACTATAAAAATGAGTTCAAGGCTCGAACAATCGCGCCTCTTCTTCCCAAACTGTCCAATTTTGTGCGCAATCTGATCTTGAATTAGGAAGAGTTGACTGAACTTCGAATACTAAATTTCGACAACGGAACGGTCAAAAGTTTCGCATCCGCCTGGAAAAAAAGCGAATACAGTAATGACTCTCTAATTGACGCCCAGATTGACCACAAAAATGGACAATTTGGGAAGAGGAGATACGCTTATTCGAGCCTTGCGGTTTAATTTTTATAGTTATAAATTGTCCAGAATTATAAAAATGAACCGCAAGGCTCGAATAATCGCATCTCCTCTTCCGAAATCATCCATTTTAGTGGACAATTTCGGAAGAGGAGATACGATTATTCGAGCCTCGTTGCTCGCTTCTTATAATTGCCAACAAGGCAATCCGTAACTATAAAAATGATCCGCAGGGCTCGCGAATAATCGAATAATATTCTCCATTTTCGTGGACATCTGAGCATTAACTTATCTTCGTCTAACGCAGATAATCGAATAATATTCTCCATCTTCGTGGACATCTGAGCGTTAACTTATCTTCGCCTAACGCGAATAATCGAATAATATCCACCATTTTCGTGGACAATCCGAGCGTTAACTTATCTTCGCCTAACGCGAATAATCGAATAATATTCTCCATTTTCATGTACAATCTGAGCATCAATTAGAGAGCGGTCATCACCGTAACGATCACTTCTGTCAACCATTACCGTAGCCCTCGCATGTTTTATCAGATTGCGAACGGAAATCTTCCTCCGGCTAGCCCGACGGCCGGTTACAGTGAAAGGGGTTGACAGATGTCGAGGTGCTGATAACGAACAAGGAATTCGCGGATCGGAACGTTATCGCGGGCCACCTGCGCGTGGGTCTGCGATCGGTCGCACGAGAAAGCCGCCAGCTTCTCCGTACCCTCTGTCTAATCTGCTTTTTCTCGTCGCGGTGTCCGCGACGCTGAAACGATAACGAGGCCTAGCTGGTGACGTCACTGGGCTACCAGACAGTGCGTCGCCCGGGAGCGTCTCTCGGTGAGAAAGACCGGGAAGAAGGCGAGATCACCTCAGGGACGTCCTTTAGAAGCGAACCACCACCGAGGGCGAAGTGTTTCGAGTCTCTGGGAAAGGTGACTGTCGAGAGGAGAGGAGCGAAGTATGTATATTTGGTCTGTTCACTCGGCGATGTTCGTTTTCCCAAGCAGCAGGAGGACCATGGAGGAGGAGGAGGAGGAGGAGAGCAGAAGGGGGAAGAATAGCCGAACGATATCAGATTATGCGCTGACTTAGAAAACATCGGTATCGAGTATCGTCCGGCGATGATGTAACGGCGACCGTTTCCACGACGACTACGACGGGGGCCGCAGAATAGGGCGGAACGAACCCTATACGCACAGAGAGACGGCGAACGCCTTTTGCGGTCGCGCGCTATGAATCCCAATTTCGACGAACGCGCGCGCCCGATCCGTGCGCCAGGCTCCGCGTTCGCGACGCAGGCATGGAACGTATCTCGCTGGTTAATTTGCCGAAAGCAGAGACCTGAAAGTTCGGCCGGGTAAATAAGATAGAAAGGCGGCTAATTAGCGAGGTTGGAAGGGAACAGCGCGCTAACTTCGGTTGTACGCGGAGACCGCTAATGACCGATCACCGGTTGACGCGAGCTAAGTGTATTCGCGTTAGAGACACCGTGTGTGCACAATTATCATTAACGCTGGGAACGTTGTTGTAAAGAGACGAATCGAGTAGCACGTGCAAGACGCGACTGACCCGAGTATGACAAGAGTTGGGTGCTGTATGTATGTACGGTATTAATGCGACCTCAGATTTTTTGTCGGACTCATTGGAAATTGGGATCGTTTTATCGCTTCAGCAAACGCGATTGTATTAATATATACAATAATATTATATAAATATTATAATATTATAATATTATTATATGTATAATAATATTATAATACATATATAATATTATATATATACAATAATATTATAACGGATTGGCGCAATAGTAATATTCGAAGTAAGAACAGTAATAACGTTCTAATCGATGCTCAGATTGTGCACAAAAATGGGCAATTTGGGAAGAGAAGATACGATTTTTATAGTCGCCGATTGTGTGCAGGGTGTCCCAAAAATGTCTCTCAATTCGGAAATAGGGGGTTCCTGAAGTTATTTCAAGTAACTTTTTCCTTAGCGAAAATGCAATCCGCGGCTTCGTTTACGAGAAATTAACGAAAAACACTGACCAATAAGAGGCCAGCTCCGCTGGCGCAAGGCTTTCCAGTCAACGAGCACGCGAAGCCTAGTTCCGCTGATTGGCTCGGCCGCCTAGCGGTAGGCCTCGCCTCTCGCCTCTCATTGGTCAGCGTTTTTCGTTAATAACTCGTAAACGGAGCCGCGGATTGCATTTTCGTTTAGGAAAAAGTTGCTTCAAATGATCTCAGGAATTCGAATGACCTCAAAGAGGTTATGTCAAGGATCTTTTATTCCTTTTTTTTAGAATAAAAGAACCTTGATATAACCTTGACATAACCTTGACATAACCTCTTTGAGGTCATTCGAATTTCTGAGATTGACCTCAAAGAGGTTATGTGAAGGTTATGTGAAGGTTATATTTTCGCTAAGGAAAAAGGTTGCTTCAAATGATCTCAGGAATTCGAACGACCTCAAAGTGGTTAAAAAAACCTCAACTCTGTTAATAATGCGACCTCTTGGAACTAAGTCCGCTATTAAAAGAAGATTCGAATCTGACACGCAGCTGAAGCAAACATCAAAAACTCACAGAATTTTCTCAATCACAATATACACGCTCCGACAAAAATATGCCAACATCTAGGTACACACAATTGGATCATTTTAAACCAAAAACCAAAGATGCGATCATTTCCACGAAGCGACACATGTCGATCGATTATCGATACTCGACAAGTTCGCCGTATAAAACGCGAAGAACGGGTTCAAGATATTTTCACCGTAAAATCGCGTTCGCGTTTCGCCTAACCAAGGGGGACCTCGATAGGGTGCCTCGAAATGGGTCAGTCGGAGCGTGGAGGTTAAGCCGTGGGCCCCGCAGTTGCGAAAGAGACCGCGAAAGCGGGGGTTTTAAACGAACAATGTAATCCAAGCTGCACGGTGCATACAACGATCCACGGCGTCCCGTGGCAACGGAGAAACAGGAAACGCGTAGAGCGGCTGTCAGCGGATGAGTCAGGTGCGGGTCCAAGAACTCGGCGGGCATGTAAGGACGTTCGCGCAAGTTATAGGCCCCGAAATCATGTCGACACGTGTGTGTGCACGATGCATAACTAGGAGCCGGGGCGCGACCGGGCTTAATCTATTCCGGGAAAAAAACGAGACTAGAGTTTCGCGTGTGTAACCGTAGCTTCGGTCCTGCGGTTTCCACGTCTCTTTTTTCGGATCGTTTCAGAAGAGCCAGGAACCTTGAGCAACACACAGGCCGAAACCGGGACCGTGATTTATTGTCCTTGGTTAGAGATAATAAGGCACGATCGGCTGGGAAGATTCTTTCGAAACGAAGGATCTTCGTGCGCGGTCGAACGGATCTATTTTTCGTTTTGGACAAGGGGGGAGGAGGAGGAGGAGGAGGTGGGGGTCGCGGGGAGAGATCGCTTACACATTTCATAATACACCCTCCCCCCGGGAGGGGGGAGGGAGCAAATCGAGCACAGGAAGCGGAGCGTTGTCGGCGCTGAGACGAGAAAAAAAATGTCACTTTCAACCGATCGTCGGACACACAGAAGCCGCGCGGACCGCCCTCTCTTTCTCTCTCTCTCGCTCTCTGCTTTTTCTCTAGATTCGCCGGGGATCCGGGCTCGATTACAAAGTGCATTTTCGATCTCTGTAATTACGCGCAATAAATATCACGCGCGCGCGAACGCAACGGCAATCAGAGAAACAGGGTAATCCCGTCAGCGCGACCACTTTCCGAGCCATCGTTCGCTAAGAGGAACGCTCGAATGCTTAAACACACGGACGGATCGTCTGTAGTCGCCGATCAGTTGCGTGACGGGAATGAGTTATTGTCATGAATAACCGTTCGCCCGGAGGAAACATATAAATATATAGGCGAGCGTAATTGAAAGAAGAAAGGATAGGACCGACCGCGCGCTGCGCGACCGAAAATCCGAGCCCCACGGCCGCCGTCGCCGCCGTCGCCGTTCCGGAAGCACCCGGCGCGTTTCAATATTCATGCGATAAAGCGCGAGACAACTCGCGAACAATAATAACCGCGGCGGTCGGTTTCGATGCACCGGCGAGATCCCGATGCTCCGCGCGAGAGCAAAAGAGAGAACGACGCTGCAATCAAACGACTCGAACAAATCCGCCGCCGCTTCGCGATACGTACATATTAAATTTCGCCTCGTTCTTTTTCCCATCTTTCCCCCGCCGTTCGAATGCGATTCGAAGCGCGTTCGGGAAGAGCGTTTCGCTTTCGTTCGCCGCGAGCTCGTTACACGCTCCGAAATCGCCGGTTTCCGCGAACACCCTGGCAAAAGTAAAGCCGTATCTTGAATCGAGTACATCGAGCCACTTGGTAAATCGAAGATCTCTTTCGAAGGTCTCTGGGATTCAACGATCAACGTCCGTACGACCGGAAGTACTACCATAACCGCCTTCCGCTCGATGTCCCCTTTCCCCGTCCGATCCCCACCAGAAGTCACGTTAGTAATTATCGAACGATTGATGAACTTAATGTTCGTCTGTTAGATCGTCGATATCGCGACGATGCGCGGACTAGCGAACGCGGTTTTTTCTTTCTGGAGCGAAAGCTACGCTTCGACGACGACGACGACGACGACGACGATCACGATCACGGTGATGATGACGATGACAATGACTTTGACGATGACGTCGACGAAGGCCGGGCAAGAGCGATGATTATTCGTGTACTCACGTAGTTGTCGCGAAAAAGCTCCGCGTGCATCAGCGCCGTTTTCGCTTGCACGACGACCTGCTCCAGAAGCTGCGAGTCCGTTAGCTGCACCACGTCCAATTCACCGGTTGTGGGGTCTTCGTCTGCGAGGCCGCAGGGGTTCACCCACTTCGGGGGCAAGCTCAGTCGTCTATTCTCGAAGGTCATCGTCGGAGCGCTCTGCACCGAGACCACGAGCAGAGTCACCAGGAGACTGCCTAACCCTGGAAATCAACGGCACACAAATCAAACGATTATTATTGCGATTATATTGGGCTAGGCAACTAAGTAATTGCCGACTTCTCAGTTATAGATTGTCTCTCACTCCCATTTTTATGATATCCGTAAATGTTATATTATAAAATTATTATTATTATTATTATTATATTATTTTTTATTATCCGTGAATGTTAGCAACTGGACAAATTGAATGCAGCGGTCAAGGAAAAGCGAGCAGAATTGGTCGATCGTAAAGGTGTCATTTTCCAGCAGGACAATGCTAGGCCGCACACGTCTTTCTCCACTCGGCAAAAATTCATGGATATTGCTTGGGAATTGATGTTACACCCACCATATAGCCCTGATCTCGCGCCATCGGATTACCACTTATTTCGATCCCTGGACAACTCCCTTCGTGGTAAAACTTTTAACGACGATGACGCTGTAAAATCTCACTTGACTCAGTTTTTGGCCGAAAAGGATCAGACTTTCTACGAGCGTGGGATTTTCAAGTTGTCGGAGAGACGGCGAAAGGTCATCGAACAAAATGGAAAATACATTACAGATTAAACTTCGTTCCAAGTAAAAAAATTTTTTATTTCATCGAACAAATCGGCGATTACTTAGTTGCCAACCCAATAGTAGAGTAGATATTTTCTGTTTTACGGGAGATTTTTCGGATTTATTTTCAAGAGAAATTGAATGGTCGTTTTGCACGCGTGTTTACTGTTACTTGGAGGGTTAAATGTACGCTTTTGTAGGCCACGGTGGTCAAGATTGTATGGTATTGAACTCTTTGCACTCGAGAAGCTATTTTAATTATATTTTAACACTAAACCTAGCGCGGTCAAAGTGGCCGCTTTCTTATTTTGCAATTCTGCAAAGTTCCGAGACTCTTTCGTGGAAAACGCTTGAATAAGTTATATTATTGGAGCAAGTTTTATAATAAAAACTTTACAAACTCCAAATAAATTCGGTCTTCTCACTTTTGTGAAGCGGTACATGCTAGTTAGTATTACTGCTTGGTAGGTTTATTGTTGATTATATTTTAAACATATTTTCTCTGATCTACAGTGTTTCTATTTTATATGATTCATCGTGATTTACGCATACGAATGCCTATTGGCAAGTACAAAACTTGCAGTTTTAAGAGTCTTTTAGATATGAACGAGTCCGATACTGTTACAATTATTTTGAAAAATAGTGTAGCAGTTTTTAGTGGCGCCTCAGAGTCACCACTCGAGTGCAAAGGGTTAATGAAGGTTCTATAGGCTGAGTCGAGTTATACAGTAAATTATTCCAAATTTTTCTTCAGCTTGTAAACAGAAATAGATAATTTAAGAAGAGGAGATAAATTTATCCGAGCCTTGCACTTCGTTTTTATTTGTATATTGAGATTCGGCGACTATGCGAACGCGTCGCGAGGCTTCAATAATCGTATTTCCTTTTCCAAAATTGTTAATTTTTGTTGACAAGCCGAAGGAAAATCGGCTTAAGTAACTAAACAAGATTCCTCAACATTGATTCAATCTTTCCTGTAATCGGAGTCTTCGTCTTTCTGTCTGCAACTCATCGATTTTTATAAGCATACTAATCGTATCTCCTCTTCTCAAAATGTCCGATAAGAATTGCAGTAAATTCTCTCTAATTGCTGCTGAGAATTTGCAGAAAAGTGGACATTTTGAGAAGAGGAGATACGATTAGTACGCTTCTAAAAATCCCTTCAAATACTTTCTAGCATACTAATCGTATCTCCTCTTCTCAAACTATCCGATAACAATTGCAGTAAATTCTCTCTAATTTCTGCTGAGATTTCGCAGAAAAGTGGACATTTCGAGAAGAGGAGACACGATTAGTACGCTTCTAAAAATGCCTTCAAATACTTTCTCTCCTACATCGAAGCTCAAGACTGCTCGCAACAAACATAGAGCCTCGATGAGAATATCAGAGCCCACGTAGACGAAGATGTATTCCCTAAACGACGATGGCATCGCCGTGTAATTTCGGAATTCCTATTCGGAGCACCGCTAAAACAGCGACGCGTAAAACCGCAGGTTACGAACGCGAGGGATTCGGAGATCGGCGTTGGCCGTTCAAACGCGCCACGATTTCTCGCGTCTTCGCTTGGGTCCCCGCTTTTGGGACCCGGTGTGGCCAACCGGGGACGCGTTATTAACCGAATTGTTCCTGTATTAAGAGGATAATATAAGGAGCGAGCGACGACGTTGGAACGAACGTGGATTTGACGTGAAACTCCGCCGAAATACCCTCGAGAGAGAAAGAGAGAAAGAGAGAGAGAGAGAAAGAAAATCATCGCGGCGCAGCTTCCGGCTCGTTGTTTCGACCTTCCCCCGTTCTCGCCCCACCCTCGGGTACACTCTCTTCGTCGATAGTAAGCGCCTAAATGGTAGATTTCGATCGAGACCGTCTTATGATCATCCGGCAGTTTCGGGATCACCGCTCGTCGAATTACAACCACGCGAATTCGTCGTCGCATTATTTCACGAGTTACGACCCTTGATGAGGGGCCTGGAATCACGTGCACCGCTACCGACGACAAACCATCAGCAGTCGCGTACGCATTCGGAGGATGTGTATAACCGGCGCAACTTTTCTCTCTCTCGGTTTAAACGCCGCCCCGTCTCTCTCTACCCCGTGATACAGTTTTGTTGCGCGCGGTATGCTCGTTTCCGAGCGAATGCATACCTTGTGCTTGATTTGTAGCGAACGGTCTCCCCCCTCCCTCCCCCCGCCTCGGACAGGGAGATGCTCCCGTATTAACATCTCGTCCGGCCGTCTAAACAGTGTTATTCGACGTCAATGTTTCTAGGCGCACACGCAACCACTCGATAATACGTCCCAAAACCGGCATCGAAAACCGCGGTTGGGCCCAGCCTCCGACCGAGCATCCTCCGATCGAGCATCCTCCTCCTCCTCCTCCTCCTCTGTCCCGCAATATTTGCGAATTAATTTCCGATAACTCGGTCGAATACGACCAGCCGAAAATTTCCACTCGTGTTCGCACCTGTCCGAGACACGGCAGCGCGAGCTCTTCGACGAGGTTTCGCGAACCGTTTTTTACGAGTTTCACCGAACGGAATCCGATCGTCGCGTCGCACAAGCCGGCATCTTCCGTCGATGCCGCGAGTTCTAGCAATTCGGAGGAAATGAAGCTTTTAGGTACGGCTGAATTCTGCGCGAGGCTATTTCTTTGGACGGCAGACTCTGATATGTGTACTGTACAGAGTGTCTGTGTATTCTGTCTGTATATTGTTAAGATACAGTTATATTGTTAACGGTTATATTGTTAAGATAAGTCTGTATATTGTAAACCGACGTGAAGACAAAAGAAGTGTGAAACAATGCATACGAAGACGATTATTTGATTCAAACGATGAGCGAGCGAGCTACTAGAGTAAGCCAACTATAGTGGCGCGTCGTCCAGAGAGATGACATCCGCGGAAGTCGCTATAGTGGCGCGTCGTTCAGAGAGATGACATCCGCGGAAGCCACTATAGTGGCGCGTCGTTCCTAAAAGGTTAGCACGGCGTCTTGTCGGGCTTTTGCACGCACGCTCCGATGGGCGTAAGAGTTTGAGATGCGATTATTCGAGCGTTGCAGCTCGTTTTTATAATCGTCGACAATTCGTGGCTATAAAAGCAAACCGCAATAGTGTTTTTTCAATATCCCCTAGGACTCAAACGATTCACCTCGAGAGGTACTTCATAGTCGACAACTTTTATTATAGCCGACGTCTTTAGCGTAGGTCCGTGTTTATTCCATAAATTGAACAGTTAGGCGAACAGCTAAAAGAATCGTATTTTTGATTTAGAGAGATTATCGAGTGCGTTTACATTTGATGCCGTTCGAAGCCTTCGTATCTTGCGAATTTAACAAACAATGCGGTCTGTGTGAGATAGTTCTTTCCTTTGCGAATAATATGTACGCGAAAATTGATATTGTTGTTCAGTGCAACAACGTTCGACGAACCGACGGAGACAGAAATGGAGACGCAAAGTGTTAGACTAAGTGCAGCAATGTCTCCCTAATTGACGCACAGATTGCGCACAGAAATGGACAATTTGGGAAGTGGAGATACGATTATTCGAGCCTCGTTGCTCGCTTTTTATAGTTGTTGACACTTCGTAACTATAAAAACGATCCGCAAGACTCGCGAATAATCGAATAATATTGTTCATTTTCGTGGGCAATTCGAGCGTCAATGCCTCCCTAATTGACGCTCAGATAGTGAAAATTTGGGAAATGGAGATACGATTATTCGAGCCTCGTTACTTGCTTTTTATAGTTGTTGACACTTCGTAACTATAAAAACGATCCGCAAAACTCGCGAATAATCGAATAATACTGTTCATTTTCGTGGGCAATCCGAGCATCAGTTAGAGAGACATTACTATGTACAGTAATGTCTCCCTAATTGACGCTCAGATAGTGAAAATTTGGGAAGTGGAGATACGATTATTCGAGCCTTGCAGCTCGTTTTTACAGTTCTTGATAATCGGCGACCACAAAAAAACGAGTCACAAGGCTCGAATAATCGTATCTCCTCTTCCTAAATTGTCCATTTTTATGGACAATCTAAGCGTCGATTAGAGAGACATTACTGTACCTGCATCACGATTTTAAGAGTCGCGAAAAAGTCACGAAACTAAAGCAGTCTGTAACACACTCCGAATTATTGACCAATTATCTCGGCATTAATCATCGTATTATTAATAGTTTTCGGCGGCGACGAGACAAATCGGCGGAGACGAATCGCAGGAAGTGTGACCGCGGATGCAGCGTCTGAGTCACGTGGCGGTGCATACGAGCGCAAGGAAAGTCGCGCGGCGTCGCGGCGTGTGGTCTATCTGTGTTTGAACGGATTCCAATACAATCGGCGCACGGTTGGAATCGAAGCGCGTGTCTCTCCGCTTATCGTCGAACATTTCTGGTCGACCGGCCGACAAAGTGACAAAGAAGGAACACGCGTGCTGCGCCGGCGGCC